TTTTCTTTTAGGCTAAGGAAAATAAAAAGTAAAAGACATAATTTGGCAAAGGAAGTTAGCTTGTACTCCTGCTTCTTAGCTCTCTGGTCTCTTGGAGTGATTTCCACCAGGTCTAATCTTTTGTGATTAGATTATGGTCCCCAGAAATCTAATCCGCTGTATTTAAAAGTTGGCCACTTTCTTAAATTGCACTTGTGTATTATTGTAGTAGAAACTAATGATCCTCAAAATATGTACACGTATACTTCCCCCCACATTTCCCCCACAGTTCACACTGGTAGTCATTTTAAAGATGTAGGATTTTTTTTTTTTTTTGGCCAGCCTTTCAGTCTATCTAGTCCCATCAGCCTCACCTCTCCATGAATGGCTTTCATGATTTAAATGTTCTTTAAAGAAGTTTCATCTCTTCATTTCCCTCATTAACCATGAGTATGGGATTTTATTTTTCCTTTTCTACTAATTAGTGTTACGTTTATTATTCTACCTGTTCTTTGGCCTATCAATTAATTTGGCCTATTTAAATGGACTATAAAGGTGAAAAAAGAAATTCTATCAATATAATGATGGTGGGGAGGATTGTACACATATTATGATGGGGGCTTTTTTCTTTGTTGATTTTGGAAATTTGCAAATGTAGCTGTTTTTACAGTGAAGGAAGTGTTCTGGGCTGTGACTCTGCTGCAAGCAAAAACTAAAAAACAAAAATCCTGTAGTTGCATATCTAAAAATATTAACATATGAGTGTTCTTGTAGAAAACATACTATGAAATATACTATGCTTTGTGGTGTCTCCTTAGGCCGGTAAACCCTTCTCATCTTCCTCACCGTCAAAAACATACTATTTTATCTACTGTTTTTGAGGATTAGAGAGATAACAGAAGTATAACTGTTTGACACATAGGTGTTTAATACATATTTTCCTGCCTTCTTTGTTCTGAAATTTTTTACTTGACCCAATTATTAAATATCATGGTCCTTTAATTTCTGGCCCTGAGTGCATTTACTGGTAGGTATTGATCAATTTTCTTTGTTTCTGAGTATTGTACTCACTTTAATAAGAGATGGAAGATATTTGCTGGTAGATAGACTACAACAATTTTGTTTTGTTTCCCCTCAGTTAAGAAGAAATCGCATGTTCTAGAAAACTTTCATGGATAGATCTTACTTTTCTTATTTAGGTTGAGTTCATGTTTTTACATAGTACAAAACATTGGGTGAAAACTACAAATGTAATAGGCAGATTAAGCACCAACTTTACAGTAGACTTAGGCAGATAGATATTTCTTAACAAGAAAAAGTAAACAAAATGATAATTGTTATTATTATTATTAGAGATGAAATAGTTTTCATGAAACAAACAATTTACCCAATTTGGAAAATGTCAACCTAATAAAAATGACAAATATTTAATATGATTGAGTTTGTTGTTTTTGTACTTTGCCAACTGAAAATGCTCGAGTGTTGAGCACACTCAGAGGCTCAACATAAAATTGTTCCATTCAATTTAAGAAGTTAGTTTGAGAGTAACAAGCTTTAAAAAATGGTATGTAATTTTCTTAAAACTACATAATATATGTGCAAGAGAAAAGAGTTTTAGATTTTTTTGGCCAGTTTTAATTTCATACTGGGTTTTGGAACTGTAGCAAAATTATAAAAAAAGATGAGAAGAAGATACATTGAATATAACACTATTCTGATTAATTCTTGATATTTTTAACATATTGTCTTACCAGCAACTTTTAAAAGAATATAGAAAATCTCTGGTTTATAATTTATTGGAACTTTTTGGAACAAACATTGATGGTCTAAAGCTGTATTTGAACAGCGAGATGTTCTGTGTCTTTTGTTATCTGCAATTTATGTACAGTAGTACCTCTGCAATGAAAAATTTAATTCACTTGAATCTCAGAAAATATTTTGCTAGTGTAAAGTCACTAAAATATGTATAATTTATTATGATTCATGTGAATTTATGTGTAGACAATAATGACATTATTAATTACTACAGCTATGATTTTGCATTCAGAATTACTAAAGTAGCTAAAGAACATCTACATTTCATAAACTAAAAATAAATTACATTAGGAATACATCAATACAAAAACATCACAAATTCAACCACCAGAACTGTAACTTTTATTTGCTAATATATTTTAATAAACAGGCTTACTCCATCTGTAAGACCCTGATAATTCCTCTTAGGAAATCATAGAAAAATAAAATACAATAATTATTAATTTGTACTTTGTACAAAAATCTTATTATGTTGCTCAGCAGGTAGTTTTGCTAAACATCATATTCTTTCAGCAAATAGATGACATGTAATGCAATTCACCACAAACAATCTCTCAGGTTGAGAGCTGAGCATTCTATAACACTATTAACTTGTAAGCATGCCAGCACATGAAAATTTACATGGAACATCATAATATTATAGTAGATTTTTGTAAGATGAAAACAATACCACATTCAAATAAATTTGAACTACTTTACTGGTATAGCAAAGTAGATAATAGGTAGGATTGCAGTTCAATTAACACTGTTATACTGTGTTTATCTCTACCATATTGTGATTACAACCAGAAAAGAGAACATAGGCTGTGTAAGGATCCTGAGTGAAAGGCATATATTGAAGCTCTAAATGGTGATAAAATACCAATATTGAAAAGTAATAATGTAGTGCTGCGCTTCCTTATTTTCATAAATAGATCTTCCCCTCCTTTTGTAAAAGTAGATGAGTATAGTGCTAAATCCTTAATTAATGATAAATAGCTTTATGTCACTTTAAGAGATACTTTGAAAGAATCACATAGGAAGGAAAAAATATTTTTAGCTGCAGTTTCCCCCTTAGTCAAATATAGCTCTATGAAGGATTAAATGTCTCAACCTAGACTGATGTTACTTGAGTATTTTATAGAAAAATGCTATTTAGTATTAAGCTTTAGGATTTGTGCTACAAAGGTGTTTAGAACTATTATTTTGAGTGCACTGCAACTGTTGATATCATCTACCATTTAAAATTTGATATGGCCATTTAAATATCTAAAGTGTTTAATCAAAAACACATTTATATGTACACATATTACCTTTATATTTTTGGCTATGCTAGAACAGCAATAAATTGGAGAACAATCTTATTCCATCATTCACAATCTAATTTCACATCAAATCCAAAGAATAAATATCATTAAATTCCAATACATTGAATTTCATACAGCCTATCCAGAAATAAATCACCAAGCACTATTAAAAGATCACATCCTTATGTTAGAATAGGGAGGGAATCAATGAACAAAACAACCATCTTGCCCACATGTTTCTCCCAAATTATAGAAACTATTTATGTTTTCCATATGAAACAAAAATAAAAATTTTTAACTAAAGATTAGTTCTCACTTGTCTTTATTTATTTTTAAAAATTCAGATGAGCATTCAAAACTTCCAAAATAGTATTCAGAAAAATTGACAGGTTTAGTATACAATATACATCTTTCAGGATTTAGCTAATTTCAATTTTATAGGCCTCAGATTATAATGAATGGCTAAAAATTATTTCTGCCATTTACTCTGTAATAGACAAAAAATCATGAGAAGTATCTATAGCATTTAAGAAGTCCTCAATCACTTGACTCTTATCAAGAGTCCTTGGAAAGCAAAAGTTTTAGGTCTTCCAATAAAATTACTTATATTTAATAAAGGTGCTTTGAAATATTTTCTAGGTTTTTTTCTATCCTGTATTAACATACAAATACCCATTAACTATGTCTGTCTGTATATATAACATACATCTATATTCACTTTCCTGTTCTGCAACTATTTATGTATTTCTCTTCCAGTCTATACTCCCTTACCACCCCCCTATTGACTTTTCTTTGTAAAATTAAACTACTCACATAGTAACATCTTTATCTCACCACCACAATCTACTAATCTACCTCCATATTACAAAGTCACCTTTCCCTCTTATTGGAGTTTTATGTCCCTGCTCCTATAAAAAACTAATCTCCCTACTTGTGCTCTGAATTCTAACCCCTCCAGACCTTTGCCATAATGATCTTTTCTCTTGCATTATCAGTTTTCTCTTGTCTGCCAAAGTACTCTCATTAGTATATAAATATGCTTTAGTATCCTTTATGTAAATAAAAGAACAAAAAATCTCCACAGAGCTCTCTTGACCCTACATCTCCCTTCACCTACTGCCTTAGCTCCTTTCACTTGCTCCCTTTACAACACAACATTTTGATAGAATTGTTTATAGATTCTGAGTCTGCTTTTTACTTATCTCTCTTCTTAATCCACTTCAGCCAGGCTTTGATTTCATGGTTTCACAGAAACTTCCCTTTTTGAGGTCTTGAGAGAGACTGCTC